CTTTCCTCGACAGCCTGAATTAAGTCAAAGTCTTCAGTTTGCAAGATCGCAGACAGAGAAAGTAAAATCACAAAAATACTGAACTCCGAGGAAAATTCAAAAAAGAAAGTCCCCAATCAAAATAAATGGCAAAATAAAAAAAAGCAAACAAACACATCAAACGAATGGATAACAACTGTCATATTCCTGACTTGGTACAGGCATTTTCTTATGTAGAAAATGGTGGATTGAACCTGGTTTTATAGCTTGCTAAACCTCTCACTTGTATATTCCATTATATTGACAACGATGCGTGAACAAAACAAACAGACACAATAGGTCAAAATGTCAAAAATAGGGCCGGTACAGCAGTCAACATTGTGTTATCATCTTAATCACTATAAAAACAAACAAATGTAACGAAGAAGCACAAAAAGGCATACATCAAATTAAACATCCTCATTTTGCTTATATTATACGATTTTATATATCTATGTAAAATCCACCAATAAAGGATGGAAGGTTTTAAGTACTGGCGTAAAATCGCGCGTTTTAAATTCGCACAGGTAGACATAAAATAATTTTGTCGTTCAAAGTATAGGATACATAAATACAGAGTCACGTAAAATGGATATAACAAAAAAACAGACTCAACAATAAAAGTAAATATTAATAAATAAAATAATATTAATTGTGTGGTACAAAGTATGACGATATACATAAGTACAGAGTCACGTCAAATGTATATCACAAAAAACAGACTCAACAGTAAAAGTAATATTAATAAATAAAATAATTTTGTCGTTCAAAGTATGACGGGATACATAAGCACAGAGTCACGTCAAATGGATATCTAAAAAAAACCAGACTTAACAGTAAAAGTAATATTAATAAAGATAAATAAAAGAATACTATAACAAGTTATTAAGATGATAAACAACGTCAGTACGCAAAATCTATACTAGAAGCCAAAGGTTGTAAAATAGCCTGAGCGACAACAAGATCAACAATGAAATCAAATTTAGTTATTGAACATCGGTAACTTCTGGCTTTAGCATCCCCATCTTGCCCGAGATCCTCAAGAAAATCACATATCACAGAGTATGCATGAAGAAAAGTGAACAAAGAATCAGACCTACTAGCCCACCTTGTCTCGCATAAGGTCTTCAACATCTGTCGTCTACCCATTTCCGCCTTAACCTCATTTGGGGCAGTACCTAAACTTTCTTTGAATGATGTCAAACGCTTCGCTGAATAATCAAAAGCGAACGCGATCGCCTGCACGGTGTCCATAAGATTTCGAACGAGTGCTTCCTTACAAGCATGCACTATGGCCAAATTAAGATTGTGTGCTTTACAGTGCATATATATGAAGCAAGCGGTACTCTTTCACGTACTCTAGCTTGGACGCCACGATGAGCCCCTGACATATTTGCAGCACCATCGTATCCTTGTGCTCTCATGTTTGCTATGATAACGCCATATTTCTCTAGTTAAGTGAGAAAGTTATCTGATAACGCTTCTCCTGTAGTTTTCTTACCTTTCGCAAAACCTAAGAAATCTTCGTGAATGAGTTTGTCCATCCTATCATAAAATCTAACACAAAGTGAAATTTGTGTTTTGGTGGAGCAGTCGGTTGCCTCGTCCGCGAGAAATGCGAAGTAGCGAGAACTGTTGCATCGGGCAACAATGTCAGATTGTATTTGATCCGCACACAGCATAATAAGTTCGTATTGTATGTCGGGAGACGTATATTTGGTTCTTGGATCGCAATATGCTAAATGGTTAACCAGAACTTCGTTACCCTTTGCCTTGTCGTGAAGAATGGCAATGAAACTGCTGTCCTTCTCCGAATGACCCCTGAGCGCTAAATTCTGTTTGCCACATAACATGATTACTTCAATGATACTCTTTAAGATATTTCGATTTCTTATATGTTTATAGCTTGTAGAAAGTGACTGCAAAATATCTTGTGATTTTTCACTCCTTATACGAATAAATTCCTCCGACGCATAACGTATTCGTGATGCTTAGAGCCCTGTTGCAAGTGACGGCTGATAGACCAACATTGATCCAACCTGTACACGGGGACTGAAACCCGAATGTTTTCTCTTTAGTGTCGGATCTTTGTGAGCCAAATAAAACACAGGGAGCGCAGTATAATGCGTCAAGGGATACATAATACTTCAGCCAAGGATTACCTATCAACCATGACAACTGGCATGCGCGGCCGGTACTCCCAACTATAAGCCTCATGCTAGATGTGTGTGTTTTTTTTTTGCTTGTCAGTTTCAGATGTTTGCCACCCTAACCCCACCCGTCTTTTCAGTCTACTCCGACGCTACTGAGAACTTGAACTCACGTAGTGCATGGCCACGATCGAGCCCAAAATTACCCCACTCAGTGAATTCGCCCCTGGTAGTCCTGTACAAATTCTGGCTAAAGCCTTGAATATTATTGTTTTTGAGAATCATTAAAACATTAAAAACGAAAATCTTAAGTATGCCGAATTGACATGTGCCGATGTCTCTTGCTTCTGTTAACGTAAGTAAGTAAGTGATGAGCTCTCTAACCGACTATCATATAAAAATCATGCAGCTTCATGCAAATACTAACAAATAACAAGAATGTGTCAAAAGTACACGGATGCCCCACTCGCACTATCATTTTCTATGTTTAGTCGACCGTGGTCAAAACTCTAATTTGGCATTAAAATTAGAAAGATCATATCATAAGGAACACGTGTATTAAGTTTCCAGTTGATTGGACTTCAACTTCGTCAAAAAATACCTTAATTGACCAAAAACTTTTACCTGAAGCGGGATAGACGGACGAACGGGCGGACGGACGAACGAACGGACACACAGACCGAAAAACATAATGCCCCTCTACTATCGTAGGTGGGGAATAAAAATAAAAAAGCATGCGAATACAATGAAAGCAAATTATTTTCGACCTCCGAACCTCCATGGTCAATGCACACGCGACAAAATCCTCTATGTGCATTGAATGGGGGAACCAGCAATCACTGAAATATCATAAAATACTAACAAACTAAAAGCATAAATAAATAAATAAATTAAGCACTGGCATTTAATAGCAGAGCAAAAGGCCAGAAATAAAAAGGAAGAAATTTTAGCTATGAGGCACCACTGGATGGAAACGGCACGAACTGCAATTGCATTTTTGACCCCCACACCAGGAATTTATATAATTCCTTAATTGGTCTAAAGAGGTCATAGTTCTGGCCTCATTGGGAAAGGAACTTCATACTTCCTACTGCCTCAAATCTAAAAGATATTTTACCATAACTTGATGTTCTTGGTCTAGGTACCTCAGCAGTGTTAACATACCTGAAATTATATGAACTGTTTTTTCTTTAACAACTAAATCTTGAATAAATAAAGGACATTTTTTATTAATTATTTTAAAGGTATTCAAGGCAAATGAGAGCATTCTACGAGTTTTTAGTGATGGAATGTTGGAAATCTGCAATCCACTAACGAAAACAAAATGGAAATCCCTTTATAAACAATAAGGTGCAGATTTACTGGACCAACAAAATTCTTGATGACTCAAAGATGTACTCAACTCTCCAATATATGAATGAACTCATCACAGAAACCAGGATTGAAATTTTGTATTTGCGCCAAACTTGCATTTCGTCTACAAAAGACTCACCAGTGACGCTGGAATAAAAAAAAGTTAAAAAGGCCAAATAAAGTACGAAGTTGAAGAGCATTGAAATTGTCAAATTGAATATACTATCGGGAAAATACACCCACTGATTACCACAAAGACAGCAAATAATAGAGACATTGTAAGGATTCCTACAAGAATCAAAATCGCAACAGGAACATATATATTTCAATCGAACCGACCTGCATTTAATAAAAATAAAGTTAGCCCGACATGTAAGCTACATGTATATAACAAGAGTCCTGAAATTTTATCACATTTTCTACTGGGGTTGATGGAGATAATAGTGGATAGAGGTAGTGAACTTTTAGCAAAATCTTGCTTTGAAAAGGAAATAGACTTAGTTCAGATAATAGTCAATCCTTTCTATTATACTATAAATAAACGCTATAACGATTTTAATCAAAGTATTGCTTGACAGCTAGAGGTTGTGTGTAGACAGCTTAATAAAAACCTGCACAGTGAAGCGGTATGAACTGCTAATCAAACAACAAAAATGTGACAAGAAAAACAATTTATCATGATGAGTAAATTTAAAGAATATTTTGACATTATGCTGATGATCTGGGTGAGAATCTCCACAGGTTTCATCAGTTTCAATAAAATCAAATAGACAGTTATCAACCAATAATAAATTTGGGTTATTATATGGGTGCATTTATTTGAAGAAAACCGCTGTATTAAATAATTACTGTCTTCATCAAGAGCAGAAATTACATCTTGCAAGGAATTTCCAGATTTTTACAAAGTATTGTCATCAGCATAATCATATAAACTCGGAACATTTTTTTACAAAAAAGAACAAGTCACTTATAAAAACATTAAATAGATCGCCTGAATGGAACCTTGTGATACCCCTTTAAATATGTCAAGCATACCACTTAAATTTTGGTTTACTTTCACACACGGTTTTTGTTTGTTAAATAACAATATAACATATCAAGTGATGATTTTGAAAGACCATAATCTTTAAAAGTCGTGGGGAAGACAGTCGAAAGCTTTTGACAAGTCCATCAAGATAGCTGCAAGGCACAGACACTTGTCTCAGAATTTTTTCACCTATATACCTTAATGTTATATTAAGGTATGTAGGAAATTTTTTTTCTGAGACAAGTGCCTGTGCTGCAAGGTATTTATTTTGGTTTAGGACTAATTTCCAATCTTCAATCACTCTTAATAAAGTTGACTGACATCCAAAGCCTGATCTAAAACCTGCCAAAAAATGGATTGAAGATATTATAAAAGTACTGTACTAATTGTACTTTTATGACATTTTCAAAAAATTTACAAATCCGGAAATAAAAACCCGTCTTTGATTGATATTTAGAAATGATATTCTACTTTCATTTTCAATTCAGGGAAAATGTGCCAGGCCTAAATTTATATAGAATAGAATAGGTATGAGGATAAATACATTATGCATTTTTTTATCAGTAAGTTTCCATACCATTAAATTCGCGATGGATGACAAACTGTATGTTTATACTAAACAAAACGAGAGAAAAAGGTGATGAAACAAACAAAATGCTTTATTTATCATTTCAAGGCCCATCTAGAGCACTAGGATCAATTCAAACCAAAATAAACGAAGGACACGCATTAACCAAGCATACGTTACATGCAAGCAAATATATAAACTGATTAATAAATGATTGAGAATGATAAATATATAGAGGAGACAACTCGAACTAAGAGGGATAACTCTAATTGTAAAAATAACATTTATCTCTTCCTGATTTTCTCAGATACACACTAAATGATGTTTAAAAATATTCTTCATTTGTCATGATCCAGATACATAGTCTAAATGTCTTCTAAATTAAAATTTCTTTATGTTTAATAACATTTGTAATAAATTTTCCCATAATTCATATTTTGGTCCTAGGCCTAGGGACACTGAAAACATTCGTTGAAACATATCCTTCAGGAAACCATTGAAATTGTGCATGCTTTGCAATAGAAGATAAATATCTCCTTGTTGGACACTATAATGTGGATATGAAACAACTTATATTTTTACTTATATAATTTTATTTGTTTTGAAGTAGCAAACCGCACTTTTACCATATATTTTCTTTTTTTTTTACTTTGCAGTGAAAATAAAACAACTGGTAATGTAAACCAAATGTTATAAAATCTTGTCAAGATGTGTATGGGTCCAATAGATTTATAATTTGACAGCTGAAGGGAACATGGCTTACTACATACCCCCCAGTCAGTTAAACAGAGGACCAGCCATAACAGATAATGCAGATGTTCAGATCATTAAACAATGTGTTCGATATTTGTCAGCGTCCAATGGAAACACTGAATCTGAACAAAATTTACAGGCTGCAATAGAACAATGTCTTGGAAGAAAATTCTCTGCATCATTGATTCCATTCTTAAAAAGTTATCCAAAGAATTTTGAAATTGAAACAGATGGAAGGAACAGTTTTATCAGTGCTTTGACCAAGTTAGAACTTTGTCCTACACATTGCTCAGGTCGTGGGACATGTAGAGGATCTCCTATTTGTGACAAACTCCACATTTGTAAGTTTTATTTATTGTCAAATTCCTGTCATGTAGCTAAAGCAGGCAAACTTTGTGCGTTTGGACATGATCTAACCACAGCACATAACAAGGCATTGCTCAGGGATAATTTTATGGATGAACTGAGATTAGAAGATTTACGGAACCTATTCAGAAGTATAAAGAGTAGATGTCCGATGACAACGCCACAAATTTGTAAATTCTATAATGTAGGGAAAGGATGTTCTAAAGACATGAGAGGGCAGCCTTGTCCATTTTTACACCTGTGTAGATTCTATATCAGTGGAACCTGTAAATTTGGAAAAGGATGTAGAAGGAGTCATGACCTTCTAAACCAACAGGTCAAAGGTAAAGTGACATGATTTATTTTAAAATCTACATTGTAAAGTTGCATATTCCTTTCTACAAGATTACAAATTTTGTTTTTTTAAAGATGACTTATATTATTTACATTTTGTACCTCAGTGTTGCTTTAACAATTCTGGAGGTTTTTTTATGTGAAAATGTAACTTGTGTTTGGAATTATTTTAATAAACAGATGATATAACATGTATTAATTAAAGTGAATAGTGCTTTGTTAATTTATGTTGATCATTGTAATTTTGCTAAATTTCTTCTGTTACCTATTCTAACATCGGACTCAGACTTCTTTTAAACTGAGTTTTACTGAGCATATTGCTGTGTTGTATTTTTATTCCACATTGGCTAGAGGTATAGGGGGAGGGTTGAGATCTCACAAAACATGTTTAACCCCATCACATTTTTGCGCCTGTCCCAAGTCAGGAACCTCTGGCCTTTGTTAGTCTTGTATGTTTTTTTAGTTTTGGTTCATTTATAATTGTTTTCGAGTTTAGTGTGACGTCCATTTTCGCTGAACTAGTATACATTTTTTTAAGGGGCCAGCAGAAGCCCGCCTCTGGGTGCAGTATTTTCTCACTGTGTTGAAGACCGATTGGTGGCCTTCGGCTGTTTTCTGCTCTTTGGTCAAGTTGTTGTCTCTTTGACACATTCCCCGTTTCCATTCTCAATTTTATGAAGTACCATCAGATAAATATACCTGTATTTAATGAACAAATGTTTCCTTATTACAGTTCTTCTAGAAAAATATGGCATAAGTACACGTAGGAGTCCTAAGGAAGTTTTAGCTGACCTACAAGAGTGTGGAGTATCACAGTTTGAAGACGACAGTGATTCTGGAAGTGTGCAGTCAGCTACTGGAAGACAAACAACGTCGAGATTTCAGAACATGAAAAGGTTTGTACATTCTTCACAATTCTGCAGTAAAGATGTAAAAATAAATCTAGATGTGTTGTAAATGACATTGAAACAGAGACCAAACATAATCAGAATGGATATTTAGGTTTTAAGTGTTTTTCCTAAAAAGTTTACACCTCCATCCTTTGGAATTTAAATTCTTTATTTTTCTCTAAATAACATAACTTTTAAAATTTATTACCACCAGCCTTTTAGTCACTCTTCACTTCATGTGTACCTCACCTTATGATTGAATTCAATTTCTTAATGGGTATGATATAAAAACATTATATATGAGGTGGCAGCAGGGGGTAACAAAAAAGGTTTCAATCTCCTCTTTGAAGGTCAATGTCACAAACTTAGTTTAGAGTTACTACAGTTAGGTCCATTTTAAAAATTATGCCTGTTTCTGAGTTCTACTTGGATAACCAAGGTTTTTTATTTGACCTTATATTGTATGGTAAGCTTTAGCTGCCATCATCAGTGATCAATCCACAGTCTTATGAAAAAATGATACCAGTCATGAAAAGTTAAATATAACTTAAGTACTAACATTTAAAATTTGTTTTGAAAATTTATACAAGAATATATTTTCTATTTCTTTTCATTGAAGGTTCAATTCCAATCCCAACCTTCTTGGCGGTATGACCAATCTATCATTAGCTGGTGAAATAGATACTGCTGATCCTTCTACACAGTCAATGTCGATGGAAATATGTATTTACCATCTAAGGGGGAAATGTGGATTTGGTAAAAATTGTCGTCGACACCATAAAGATTCCATGTATCATTGGCAATTTAGACAGCAAGGTGGCACTTCAGATGAATCTTGGACTGACTTTAGACCATCAGCGAGCTTTGACCTTGAACTGAACTTCAGTGATGTTGAAAAAGAAATATGTTATATTCAATTTAGGTATAAATATTTATAAGACTCTTTCAATGATGATGAGTTAGATGCTAAGTTTTAAAAGAAAGGAATACATTTATAATTGTATAATACTGAAAAATCATTTTGGCTTTAGAAAAATGCTCCTGCAATTTAAAAATGCAGAAATATATGAAATATGCATAAAAAGCATAATTCTACATAAAAGAATAATATGGCGAGTAAGTATACATTAATTTTGGAAGACTTTATGAAATAACTACCGGTATATATTTTAGTAAATTATTGATAAAACATTCTGCCAAAAAGTATCGGGAGTTTGTAAAGCAATGAAAAAGTATGTTGTATAAAATTAGTTCCAAGATATGAAATTTTGATCTTTAGTACATTCGTTATTGAGTTTTAAAGTATTCTAGAACTCAAATGGACTTTACATTAAACATTTGTCTGGTTTGCTATCTACAAAGTTTAATGTTGATTTTATTGAAGCAAAAGCCTTAACAGCTAATTTCGCTTTGAATTCAATTCTTGCAAAAGTTTATAATATATTCTACAACAATATGTCTTGCAGTAAACAACATGTATTACAAGTTGACTTTGGGAAGATGATTGGTGAGATGAAGGGATCACCCACACTCGATGTTAGACGACTCACGACAGAATCATCAGCAGTACAGAAGTTCCAACCATTAGCTACAAAGTGGAGATGGTATTGGAAAGACCAGACAAATAAATGGATCATTTATGGAGGGCAGGTTAGTTTTTGCTTAGCATTAAATGCGGTACCTATACATTCATAATAATTGCAGGCTATCAGTTATAAGGAGAAAACTAGATTCCATAAATTTTATCAACCTTTTTAAATATGTAACCTTCTAACTCTTGAAAGACAACATTTTGTGTATTGATTAAGAGCGAACCAAAAAAACACATCATGCATTGTCATGGGGTAAAAAGCTGCATCTTACCAATTGTTAACCAATATTAGCATTATCAATTGCATCTTTAGGTGAATCAAGGGTATTCAATCTTTATACGAGAAATACCTGATTTTTTCATATTTTAAATTTTCTAAGTAAGGAGATCAAAAAACAGGGGGCCATTGTTCATCTTATCTCAAATTGCCTCTTAAAAATAGCATGGGTTTTTTTATACTTTAAAAAATCGAGGTGTTGACGTATTCAAGTTACGATAAAGAAAAATGTATGTACGATTTTGCTCAAATTTTTCATTGAATGAACAAGCTGAAGCAAAGCTTAGTAGAATAACCTTAATACCCTTAAAAAATGTAGGATACTGATGAGTTAAGAAAATATTTCACTTTTAAAGCAAATATATTAATAGAAATTTTGGCAGTTAAGGGGAGATAATTTATGTCTACATGGAATGAAATTAAAGAATCATTAACTAATAAGACCTAAAATTAAAAAATAACAAATTTCCCAAAGGAGGAGGCATTATAAAGCCACTTACTTGGTTTAAAATAACCAAAAAGTGTTCTAAATCTACAAAATCCTTCATGATCATTTAAATTTTACAGTTTGTTAAAAATTACTTGTGTTTGTTTTTAATAGAACGAGACAGGTTACAAAGCCATGATTGACAGTGAAAGTTTGGAGCAACACTACCAAGAAAATCCAATAGGACAAATGAAATTTGCAACAATGGGTCATGAGTATATCATGGACTACCAAAAAATGGTACAGAAAAATGTAGTTCATAAGACAGAGAGAAAAGTGAGAAGACGTCCAACATTGGTTCAGGCAGCGGAAATAGAGAAAAGGAAAAAGAAGTATGACATCTTACATTCTAAAGACCTATTATTAAAAAATAACAAATTTCCCAAAGAAGGAGGAATGATAAAGCTACTTTTTTGGCCCCTTGAATTTAAATAACCAAAATGTGTTATAAATCTACCAAATGCTTCAGATGATCATAAGACAATAGCCACTAGTCCTAAGCCTAGTTACTAGTGAAAAATTGGTTTCAGCCTAGGGAAAATGTTTAAAATATTGGTTTAATTATTTTCTTGATATGAGCTTTCGGGCTGTTAGGTATCAAAGTTTTTGGCACAGTCTGATCTTATGCAGTTTTCATGCCACTTCACTTATTTATAGAAGGTTAAAGTTATTTGGCACAGTCTGATCTTATGCAATTTTCATTGGCATTGTTATAATATTGTCATGGGTAGCACGTGCAGTCATAGCTGTTGCATTTTATTAGGAAAGAAAACTTAATTTTGGAATTTCTTGCAATTGTTTTCTGCCAATCAAAATTACAGAATCTTATGAAACAGCTTTGTAATGTTGTTATTTTAAAATGAAGGAAGGACAGTCCTCCCATTTAAGCTTACATAATTTGGCTCAAAGGGCTAATGTGAGCTTTCTTTTCTCATTTCTAAGTCATCTCTAGGACTAGGTTAATAACACAGTAATAAAATATCATTTTTAAACAAAATTCTGTGGTGAGAAATGCAAGAAATTACATTTTGAAGGAATAACACTGCATTTTTGCTGCTTTTTACTTACATTTTATACATTTTTAGATCTTTTTAATAATCTTTTAATTGATTGTATCTCTGAAGAATGAATGCTACAGGTAATTATTTTTCTATTATCAGATGCAGTTCAACAAGGTCTAAATGCTTACAAAATTTCATAAAAATCTGAAACACGGCCCAAATATGTAAACTTTGGAATAAAAAAATGTAAAATTGTTTTGAGTCTTTACCATGTTCAAAGATTATATTGTGTTTAAAATAACACTTACCTAATCAAACTTACTATGGAACAATAATATCAGTGGAGTGGGCTTTAATTCTTTTTATTGGGTCCTTCAGTTCTGTATTCTGTTAATTGTTAAAGCCATTTTTCTCTATGCTTTATTTTTTGGTCCATTATTCTCTATTCTATACTATATATTTTTGCAGCCCATTAATCTCTATTCTTTATAGTTTTGGTTAATTTTTTTCTATGCTTTATTTTTTCACCCTGTATTGTGTATTTTACTCCCATGATTCTCTATTTTGTAGACCCTATCCAGACCCTCTTTTATTTTGTCTGATAATATTACAATTGTTTAATTTTTAAATGAATAATAATTTGTAGACTTTCAACACTGATAAAAGAAGTTACTATTGTATGACAGTCCAATGAAATAAAATGATAAAGAAAGAAACTTAACAATTACTGTGGATGCATTATTTTTCGTGGGTACCAATTTTCGTGGATTGAGGAAAATTTGCATTTTTTTGCATATTTAATTTTGTGGTTTTGCCATAGTCTGCATGTATTCCAATACTAATATGTATTATCCAATGAACATTAAAATTTGTTGTTCCTTTGTACTCACGAAATCCAAGAATATTGGTATCCAACAAATAATAATAAATACACAGTATAAGGAAAATAAGTTGCAATGACGGACAGTTTTATATGTACATGTACCGTCATATTCTGGTAGGGAATAGGCATTTCAATAGAAAATTGTAGGTTTCAAAAATTTTAAATGTACCAACCTGTTACTTATTTGATATTCACAAACAGATTAGAAGCATCATGTCCACCATTTTAAGTTTAGTAAGCTAGTATGAAAATTCAGGTTTGACATTATGATAGTAAAATTGTTAACTGTCTTTTAACGATTCAAAAGTTGACGAAGAGCATGAAAATATTGATTGATTGATTGTAGTTGTTTAACTTTACTTTCTATACTTTTGTTGAACTTATCAGGGACTATTTTTTTTTCTTATAGTGTAAGAAGACAAAATCAAACGTTTATATTCACTCTGTTTTAAAAGGCAATTCACAGATCTCTTATTTTTGTATTATAGATCAGCTGATACTGGGAATACCAAGACCACAGCTACTTCATTGGTTGTTCATGCACCACTTGACAACAATCCACTATCCTATATACCACTCCATTGGTCATTTGATAGACAAAAAAGTCCAGCAGAAATCAGCGATCATTTTCACATGGTATGTTTTAGTACTCTTTTGCCATCAACTTGAACTGAAAACTGATGGTTAATGGGAAAAAATTCAAAACAAATTTAAAAAAGCTGTCTTTAATCTTTTCATAGTTTATTCCCATGGTGATTTAGGAAAAATCTGATTTGTCACTTGGTGATACTCCCGTTAATTTTAATTTGTATATTGTAGCCTGCTGGAAAAATCTGCTTAAGTTTACCTCAAATAAGTTGAATATGATAATAAATGAATCTTAAACACTTCACAAGTGTTTAAATATTCCAAAAATCATTAAAAACAAATTCAGAAGTGTTATTTGTCATTTAAAACAGGAAATTAATAAAGTATGTGTAAATCACCAACAAGTTTAGTGCCAGTGTGCAGAAATCCCATCTTCTAAGGTAAGCAGAAAAATGAATCTAGGTTTAATGCCTTTATTTACTTTTAAAAAGGGCCAAATCAACAAAGTGAGTTGATTTTCCTTTATAATTGTAGGCAGCATGTTCTAAAAAAAGTGATGAATATAAGAAGATGAAAAAGTTTTTCTATGCCACCATGCCATCAACAGCTGAAATAGTACAGATAAAGAGAATAGAAAATGGGGAACTATGGATTAACTTTGTTAGGTTTGTAATATTTATAAGAATAAATGATGAAATACTCCATCTCTTACATTAATTGTGGTCTAAGAAAGGGATTGCTGCGATATAGACTTTTTGTGCTGAGACTGTATAAAGCAACCACCAATCAATCAAAGAAAAGGGTAGGTAAGCGCACACAAAAAATCTGGATAAACACCAACATATTTTGTGTCTGTACCAAAACAGGCCATATGAACCATATGTTATACCTAGTTAATGGTCATTGTTTTATGTCTATTTTTCTGATTTATTTGGTGTTGGTGTTTTGTAGTGTCTATTGTATTGCCAATGTTTTTTTAATTCCAGTCATACTTGATTGACATGCTGCGTCAAATCTTTTAAGTGGAAGCTCTCAAGGTCTGTTGAAAAACATGCCATACAAATCTAACTCCCAAATAATATGTACTTGGTGGAAAAACTAAACATGTCATACAAATCTAACTCCCAAATAATATGTACTTGGTGGAAAAACTAAACATTTCATACAAATCTAACTCCCAAATAATATGCACTTGGTGGAAAAACTTCAGATACCTTTAATAAAAACTGACATTTGTTAATTATTAAAATTGTATAAAAATTTCTGAAGCTTTTTAAGTGTAAATTGACCAGCAGTTCACCAACTTAATATAAAGTTCTTTTGACTTTGAATCAGTTTAATACCAGTTATTTAGTTACCCATCTATAAAATCAGACAAAAGTTATGTTTATAAATCTAAAATCAAAATGATAACCACTATTAACTTGTTCAAGGAAATAAAAGATGACATATAATTTTAAGGCTGTGTCAAATATGTGTGTCTTAAATGTACTCTCTAGTATTATATTATACCTAACTCTAGAACCGGAGGCTATATTGCACTCACCTTGTTTGTCAATCCCTCCATTTGTTCATCTATCTGTTGGTCTGTTTTTCCAAACAAATATTGAATAACACTTTTTTTTCATCTACTACTGAACAGAATGACTTCATATTTGATCAACAGCTTGACAATGAATAGTTGTAGTGTATGGGCTCTTCTGGGATGTGTCAGACGTCTACTGTCTGTTTGTTGATACTCTGAATTTACAATATGTTGAATAAATTTTAAATATTTGTTCACACAATTCTCCAACATTACTAAACAGAATGACTTCATATTTGGTCAGCAGATTAGCAGTGATGAGATCAGATCTCTCCGATATCTATTTCCTGTTTTTCTGATATTTTGAATCACAAGTATTGATATGCTTAGCATGACAACACATGCATTCTTGTTCCTTTGAATATAAACCAATGAGTGGATGAATTTTTTAAATTGAAAATTCGAACATATATTCTTTAAAGGAAAATTGTGAAATCACTGATTTTATACTTGCAGCAAAAGAGAGAAAATGAAAAGAAAGAAGAAAGAAGAAGACATAGCTGAGTTAGAGTTATTCCATGGAACAAACGAAAAGTTCATTAATGCTATTAGTAAGCAAGGATTTGATTTCAGATTTAGTGGAAGCAAGACAGGAAATAAATATGGTAAAGGTAGCTACTTTGCTAAGTATGCTAAGACAGCCGATAGCTACACTGATTTTGGTGTCAAGAAACACATGTTTGTAGTACGTGTATTACCCGGTGATTATGCCCCTGGGAGTTCGTCATTTGTTCGACCTCCACCAAGAAACCCCAGTGATCCTTTTGAATTATATGACTCCTGTGTTGACAATTTACAGAATCCAATCATATATGTGATATTTACTTTTGATCAGGTTTATCCTGAATACATTATAGAATATAGAAAATTAGGAATTTAATTCAAAACACAGTTTAAGTGGAATGAAACTATGGTTAAATTTCAGTGTTCAAGGAACAGTTAGATTAGAGATCTGTGTCACAAAGTTGAATTTTTATAGTTATGTATCTGATTTACTGTTTTTACAAACATATTAATCTGGCCAAAATTCAGTTTTTATCCAGATCTGTTTTCTAAATTTTTATTTGTTTAAAAGCTTGTTATGTTATGGATTATAATTTGTTTTGTTTTGTGTTAGCATGTTTATGAAAATTCTATTTTAATATCAAAAGACTAGTGGCGTTAAGGTTGGTTTTGCTTTGACAAGAAAATAAAGTTTTTGAGAACTATTTCAAATTTGCACATAATGTTTAGAAATGTGTAAAATCAAGAATTATAAATGAAATATTTTATGTAGTCACAATTACATCATAATGTACCAATTTCATGAAAACGATAAAAAGCTGCAGAATTTATGCAGTTTTCCGTTGTTATTTCCTTTCTGGAGATATTGTGCTCAGCCAAGAAACAGCAAAATAATTTAAGAGAAGCTTCATTATAACTATGGACATTATTTCACCAAATATAAAGTTGTTTGTTTGGTGTGCAAATACTTTTCAAATCTAACATATACTTAAAAGTTGCTGTAAAACAAGGAAAATCATGAAATTTTGTCATGGTTACTTTAAAACCTAAAGGTCACCAGGCAAGTGATATTTATCTGTTAAATTATTTCAGCCAAACGTCAGAGGAAGGGACTTGAAACAACTTTCAGGGTGTTTGAGAAAACTTTTTATATTTGAATAAAAATTTTATTTTAGTAACAGAAATATGGGCATCTAAAAGGACATTATAAAAATGTTTAACACATGACAAGGCACTCTCGAATAATTGATTTGTTTTGTTTATAATTAGAAAGGCCATGTGCACAGAACATGCAGACCTTGCTAAGTGATGAACCGGTGAATTAAATAATATCTCAGGGTAACATGAATGAGGGTCTGGATGGGGGTCTTTCAGATCTCTATTCTTTAAATTTTCAAGTCATTTTTCTCTATTCTTTATTTTTTGCCCATTATACTCTATGCTTGATCTTTTTTGTCTATTTTTGTCTATATTTGTTTATCCTTTACATTATTTATCCTGTATTCTGCACTTTTTTTTCCATTATTCTCTATTCTGCAAACCACATCCAGACCCTCATACAGAGTTGAATTTCATCTAATGACATTGATTCTTTTGATCAGCACATATATTTGAATTTTAGTTTTTCTCATGGTGATGCAGAATTTCACTGATACACTTTTCCCTAAACCTCTTTTTCTAATTGCTTCATAGTTTTCATGTAATTTGTTTCCACTAAAATCAAGCAATATAATGCTGTTACTTTTAGCTTGAATATTGTTAACACACACATACACACACGTTTTTCCACAGAAAATGATTTGATAAATATTTTATAATTCTTACAAGATAGATATATTGCAGAAATTCAAACATATATGTGAAGCATAAATTTATTCCAATATTAAAGATTTTTTTGGAATTTTTTTTTCAATTGGACAATTTTTAAAAGTGGATTGCAAAATCTTTTTTTCCTGAACCACAGAGCCAAGGGGAATTTGGGCTCTACCAGTTAACATAACTAATAATTTAGCTTTAATGCTAAAGAGTCAGAACAACATATGTAGTTGAAACCTTTGATTTTTAGTTTAGAGACATCATGCACACAAAGTAAATTTGATTTTTAGTTTAGAGACATGCACACAAAGTAAATTTGATTTTTAGTTTAGAGACATGCACACAAAGTAAATTTATAAGAGAATGCAATGGATTGTAATTGTTGCAATGTGATTTTCAAGTTTTCAATTTTAGTTATTTTAAAATATATAAATACCTTTTTATTGTTCTATTACTGTAGATTTAGGAATTATTGCGTGCATTTTTTATTGCGATTTTGTCATTTTGGACTAAAATGCGTTTTTAATTTTTTGCGATATTGAGAAAAATCCTGTTTAATTCATATATAAAATTTTCAAAATGAGATTTTGAATTATTGCGATTATAACCCTGTTGCATTTTTCGCAATAATAAAAACATCACAAAAATTTCTGAATTTACAGTATTTTATTGATCATAGTTTTTGTCATTGAAGGAATTTGGTGTCGTTGGCAGAGTTAAGTTATAGCTAGCTATAAAACCTGGTTTAATCAACCATTTTCTACATAAGGAAATGTCTGTACCAAGTCAGAAATATGACGGTTGCTTTCCATTCGTTTGGTGTATTTGAGCTTTTGATTTGGCCATTTGATAAGGGACTTTCTGTTTTGAATTTTCCTTGGAGTTCAGTATTTTTGTTATTTTACTTTTTTTAGTGCCAGTTAAGTATTCATTTCATTAAGATATGAGTTCTTCCCAAGGAAGGCAGAGAATTTTAAATTAAAGTGCACCACAAATGTTTACACTTCATATAGAATTTTGTTATTAAATTAAATTTTGTTTATTCAGAATTAAAAAAAAATCATGATTTATTTTTCATTTCCTACCACTGGGTTAGTGATTGTAACTATCAGATAGTCTTACCAGCCTAGCACAATACAAACATTAGAAAAATTAAAATACAAAAATTATGTAAAACTGCTCTATGAAGGTTGGTAATTTTAACATATTCTTTCATGTAAAACAAAACTTCCATGAAGTTTAAAAAAAAACCCAATATTACTGACATATTTTTATTTTTCCCTATTGCAAATGTATCAAAGCCTTTAGATAAACTAACCTGGCTATTATATTGCCAAAAATACCAGTGTTAGAAAATTGTCAAGTGGTTACCAAATCTCAATGACATTTTGAATCCTTTGTCTTTCAAATGAGCAATACAATGTGAAACAGTATTGACGCCCCTTAAATTCTGAAAATATTTTACATGAGCAAATTGCAACCAAACAATCCAACTATTATATTATAGGTTTTGGGGTTATTTTTTGTCGATCAGTATAATGAGTGTCATAAGTATAAAAGTTTGACATAAGTCGTACCATATCAAGCAGTATTAAACTACTTTGGAACTCTGGGTTTAATTTTAAAATGATATTTGTTTAGCCTCCTGTCTTTATGAAGTGTGCAAATGCCTTCATCATTGATCCTTTACATTTTTCACATGTTTAGGTCTTATACATCCCTGGCTTTCAAAATGTTTGGATTTGAGCATTCCTGATGAGGATAGATACAGGAAAAGAGGTTGGAGGCACAAAATTTATGAAGTGGGTTTGTTTTTCATTTTCTAGCACTGGATCTATACCACTGCTGGTGAACTGTAAGTCCCAGAGGGTATCACAGTGGTCATGGCTGACATGATTTTTAACAAACTTTTCTGAAATTATAAGTCGATAGATTAAGAAATTATTGAAAAACTCTGGTTCCATTACTCCCTCAACAAAGTTGACACAATTAATAAAGTGATATTTCATTTACAAACCGGTTTAATCTTTTGAAGTGAAATAGAGGCATTTAAGTTTAGGTCTTTTTATTCTATTCATGTAATTCAATTGTGTTTAATGTTGTTAGATTATTTCCATTGTAATTAAATTAGAATCAATGTACTTAAATTATTTTCAATGTAATTCACTATTGTATTCAATGTAATTCACTATTGTATTCATTGTTATTCAATTAAATTCATTGTAATTCAATTATTTTAATAAATTCATTGTAATTTAATTGTTTTCATTGGGATTCAATTGTTTTCATTGTTATTCAACTGTTATCAATGTAATTCATTTAATTATTTTTGTTTTATTGGGATTATTTGTAATTTGTAATATACATGTTATTACTAATATATTGCAGTATGCAAAAGTATATTTATGAATACATGTATTATGCATCATGACACTGCTATATTTTACAGCTGATAGATAGTGATCATTTAATCTGATCATTCATTTAACCATCTACACTTTATATGCAAATTATACTAAATTCTATTTCAATGAAACTCTCAGAATCTGAAGTATAGTATGGCAATGTGAACTTTGTTTTATTTGTAATTTTTCATTCCAGTTTTTTGGGGGGTGTTTCTCATAGAAAAACATGAACTTTGACGTATAAAAATAGGAGCAATCATACTCAATCACACACTTTTGTCGACTTAATACCATTGAACACCTATTTTTTCTCAAATATCTAAAATAGACTTTGTCATATATGTACAAATGGGGAGAGTAGATATGAATTTATAAGCTCTGCTGAGTTTTTAACTGCATACTAATTTTCATAAATTTCATGGTCAACCTCATACATTAAATACTTTGACACATTCCCTATTTTCATTCTCAATTCTACTATATTAAATCATCTACAAGGTGTTAAAAATTTGTTTTAGTCCTAAAATAGACTTTGTTATATCTATACAATTGTGAAAGACGGGGACTCGGTGGTCAAGTGGTCTAAATAGTCAAACTACTGTACCACTAACCTGTCAACACTTAAGGTATGACTTTGAACCCCGCACGTAGCAGGTGTGGTCAACTCTAATCTTAATTGACTAGGATTGACACCAATCAATCAATCAATGGGGGAGATTAGATATGGATTTATAAGCCATGCTTAGGTTTGAATTGCTTACTAATTTTCATGAATTTCTTGGTTAAATACATACCTTAATTTCTAGATTAAATGATCTACAAGGTGTTATTAAACACCATTTTTGAGTTCCAGAATTTTGAAAGCCTGAAGGATTGGCCCAATGATGTTTAATCCAACATTGTAACATTTTGAAAGTACAAGAAACCTTTTATTTTCTGTAAATTTTCACAGACTTGTTAGTGGTGAATAAAGGAATAATCCCTAATAAATATAAAAAGTTATGTATCATTGAAAAATAACTTCGTCTCAGATGGTACATAATAGCTATACAAACCACCATGAATCTGGATCATGTTAATATTTATGTATGTATTAATGACAATCATATTCATGATACTTGTAAGTGCAATATGGTTCTGAAAGGAGGCAATGGACATTTAATTAGGTCTTGAAGGGTTAATTTAATAAAATTTGTTTTCTCAATTTACTACCACATGTAGTGTGTGCTTAAGGATGCTTTATCCATGTAGTGCCATTAAAAATATTTCCCCACTAATCCCTACTTTTCTTTTGATAATTTTATTACATATAGTTTTAAAAGCCATATTTGGAAATCCTGGTTATTTTTTCATATTTTTTGAAAGAAAAAGGGTGTCAATGTTAAATGTATGAAAAGTCAAGAGAGAATTATTTCCTGTCAAATTTTCAATGGCATATATCTTGAAAACAAGCACACAGACCCTTCATTTTTTTCTGCTTTTTTATTTCCTTTATTTATATACTATTAATTTATATACAGTCTTTTAAAAACCTTGTTATTTTGAAACAAGAGTAGCGAACATCCTTAAAAGATGTTGTTCACAATATTTCGTTCAAATACATATAAATGTACAATTCTAGTTTACAATTTATGTTCCATTCATCCTGATGGCTAGGATAGGTATAATGAAGCTTCATTTATTTTATATTTTAGGAATATATGTGCTTGTTGCAAATTTTATCTGACAATAAAATACAAATATGCAATTCAAACAAGTTGAGATTGTTCTTGAACCAGCTTAGACTTAGGTAAGCTGTTTCCGGCAGCAGTGTCGTCAACAATTTGTTAAAGTTTGTGATTAGGTCAGTTAAAGGGGAACCACTTATGGTAAATCAATGATGTTTGGTATGCAGTTGTATAAACATTGGCACATTTCATTTCCATTGAGATTTTTAAGCCCTGCTTCCTCCTCAGCCATGAATAATTGACTTTTTTTTTCATAGTTTGCATGTTTAAGTTTGTGAGACATATCTTATTTCCACTGAAATTATTTGGCACTCATGTACCTTCAGTAACAGTTCATTGACTTTGAATATTTTGCATATTTGCAAGTTAAAGTATTGCTGTTTTAATCTTAACATTTATTTTACTATCAAATTACATACAGGCGAGACATCTTTATGTCAACAGTTTGTTTTATCATTTTATGTATTGTCAACATTTGTAAATTCATTTTAACAAAACTATAGATTTAATGAGAACAATGACCAAGCTCATGTGATTCAATGACCCCTAGGATTATACAAGATCTGGATATTTGTGTATATCTGCTGATAAACCCTTCTCATCAGCCTTTTACATAATATTGATCATTAGATTTCAGTGCAATTTATTGCATAGATTTCGTTAAACAAGAATTCATCTCACTTTGAAAATAAACCTTTTAAACAGAGGCAACAACAGTGTTGTAGCTAAAATCACCATTCTTGAGAAACCAACAATTAGCGGCATAGGAGGCAATACCTTAGTGCCAAGATACTACTTGAGACTGGACAGATTAAGGCCAAACACGACTGGGAAAAGCGTTTCCAACATTTAAAATGCAAAAAGATGAATTTTATACATGATATGTTGCAAAGCACAAGGAACAAAAACTGCATACATATGATTATGAAAATGTGTGTTATTTAATCCTCAACTGGTCCTTTAAATGACCATCAAGATAAGGTTATATAAAAATAATACGATATTGCTGAAATTTCAGTCGACTCCATTTTTACTCATTTTATTACAATAGATAGGGAGAAACTTTAAACAGTATCTAATTAAAAAAGAGCAGATTTATAAACATGTCAAACTTGCTGAAAACGTCAGTTGGAAGTCATTCCCCTTTTGGCGGTCTTTAGGCACTTTTTACAGCAAAAACACATGAAACTTTAAACAGTATCTAATTAAAAAAGAGCAGATTTATAAACATGTCAAACTTGCTGAAAACGTCAGTTGGAAGTCATTCCCCTTTTGGCGGTCTTTAGGCACTTTTTACAGCAAAAACACATATCAACTAGACCAAACCTACACATAAATCAAATTGTCAGTCAGCTCTATAGCAGTTATTGCCTTTCAATGACAGTTTTTTCGGGACCCATGTTTTGCGCTTGTGACTGTTGTCTTGTAAACTTTAATAGGTTTAGAAACTAAAACAACAAAAAAGGATCAGACAGATAAAATTTACAGGTATATAAACATAACTGAATTATTTGTGGATAAACATCCTACAGGAGGGACTGTCCTAAATGACACTTTTGACCAATTCAGCGATTTTTTTATTATTTTGAATACAATGATAGATAGTGAAACTGAAAAAGAAAATAAGGCGATGGCGCTTATCAATTGACTCTTCGAACTGGTATTGTCCTTAAAAGAGGGACGAAATATACCAGAGGGACAGTCAAACTCATAAATCGAAAACAAACTGACAACGCCATGGCCAAAAATAAAAAGACAAACAGACAAATAATAGTACAGATGACACAACATAGAAAACAAAAGACTAAGCAACACGAACCCCACCAAAAACTGGGGGTGATCTCAGGTGCTCCGGAAGGGTAAGTAGATCCTTAATCCTAAAATTCTTTCCATTTAAAAAAATCCAAGATTGGATCTGCAACAAACTTTTCTTACTGAGAAAAATAGCTGTACTGTCGCCAATGGTTTTAATGATGTATAGTTTTGCCAAGTGAACATCTAGTTATACATAAAACAAAATAGTGAATACACACAATTTACAAATTAAAATGGCCGATGATGTGTAAAGAATGTACATAAAAATAAAACAAAAATACCGAACTCCAAGGTAAGTTCAAAAACGGGAGGTACTTAAAATCTGACAAAATCAAACGTTATCAATCAACGGAACGAAAGAATAACAACTATAATATTCCTGACTTGGTAGAGTGGTTTTCGAAAGAAAATGGTGGGTTAAACATGGTTTATAGGTAGTTAAACCTCCCATTTGTATGACAGTTGTTTATAGTTCCGTTATATCTGAAACTACTGTAGCGGGCAGGGGCTTGAAATGCTTGACCCAAAAGTTTTACTCCAAATTATGAGTAGTTTGTAAATTGCTAAGTTAATATGACAAGATATGAACTGGTCAGTATAATATAGGCATTTGTTAAAAGTAACATAAATAAGTTTCTATATTTTATTCATTTCAAGACTCAGATATTTTCATTGATATTCAAGATAAACAACAACAATTTTAAGTAGTAAGATACTTAAATTATAGACTTTTAGATTATATATGACAAGAATCTATTCAGTATACATGTAATATTTTATCTCTACACTCAAGAGATGATTAATATAATTTTTATGATTGCCGGATAACTTTGTCCGTGCAATTCTAATAAAAAATAACACTTGCTATTACCAATATAATTGTATGTTGGTATGTTAGAAAAATACCTAAAAGGCTGAGTCCTGCTATATTACCAAGAAAATAAATTACCCTTACAGAAAATACTAATTTCAAGTGAATTTAGTCAGAATACCTCTTTCTGACAATTTTGTAAATAGTAATAACTGATACCTCACCAGTTATATAAAAAAATGTTTATTATCATTAGTTATATTCAGAACCTTTCCTGAATAACTAACAATAAAATACAATTTATACCTTAAATAAACTGTTTTGTTTATTATAATTTCCAGACCTATAGGAAATTATCCCTTAATTGCCTAATGTTTTCCTATTTAATTTTATTTATTAGAAAAAGACAAACGTTAACAGTAACATGAAAACAATGAACAATTTCAATAATCCTAACTTTAAAAGATAAACTAGAAATAAAGCTTTGCCAGCAATAATACGATAATTAACCCAAAAGATATTCTAAAACAATTTTAAGAACTTTCCTAAATTTACTAAAAAAATAAAATACTTTAAGCAAAAGATCAAAAATGTAAGAGTCCGGCTCCTAAGAGTCCGCAAGGACGTATACGTCCTTGGAGTCCGCTAAAAATGAAATATTCCTTTCTAACTTAGAAAACGTTAAATTTACTATTTTCCTTTACAATTTAACCCCAAAAAAAATGAAGTTTGTTAGAAAAATTAACCATTTTGACAAAAATTACTGATGAGCGAAATAAAATACTAACTGTAACGACCAAAGATTTAAGCAGAACTGACGAACAAGCGTCGAAATTACGTCAATGTTGGATTGTTGGCAAAGTTGGAAAATTGTTGGATCGCGCGCTTGCTGTCCAACGAAATATTTGAATTCTCAAATAAATTACAAAAATCATAATAATATACAATTTTAGTAACAGTCATATAATAAACAAATTTTGCATGGTACTAAACAAATTTCTATAGTAGCTAAAAATACACCAATAAAACTTCACCGGAAGTCACAATACGTAAACAACATTGCCAAAAGTTATGTGTGTCACCGGCTAACCAAAATGACAAATATCAAGGATAGTGAGCATTAACATCTGCAAAACATTGAAGACGTTGACTACAAATACTAAAAGGAATTACAAAGAGTATTTGAAAACAGTTGCCGAAACGTAAAAATAGTGTTTTTATTGAAAAATCGTCCCAAGTGACACATGGGTTCCACTGCGCATGTCAGTACATTTCATTCATAAAATTCAAGCAAGGTGCGTGGATTTACTACGAGATTTACTACGATCTACTACAGTTGCTACAATTGGATCATCACAAAAATACAAGACATTCAGTGGATTATTACTATGAACTGGTAAATTATAACATGAACTTCAAATAGTTTATCAAATATTCAAATGACAGTAATTCAATATTTCTAGAAAATCATAATATTGTAATTGTTCTAACTTTACTTAATTAAATGTTAATTAAAACTTATTTGCTTCAATTATGAATATGTTTCAGACTACAATCATTACAAGTAATATAGTACAAGTTATTTCACACAGTTACTGTTTCCTACATAATAAGACTTTCATAAAAAAATACAGAATATTAAACAATATGCTCTATTAATACCAATTAAAACATACATCAAAAATATCTTCTCCCTGTCTATGTAAACTTACATGTACATCACACATGTCACAATAAAATACATGTACCCTAGTCTTCGTACTCTACATTTTACCCCCTTTCCATTATTTGCGTCCCCGCAAATACTTTTAACTTTTTGCAAAAGCTTCCATTTAAAGTTTTGATTTTTTTTTTCTATGCCTTTAATAATTGCATATACATGTACTTCTTAAAAAGAAAAATAGACTTAATATTTTAAGAATTATTTCCAAAACTGAATGAAATTAGTTTTCTTATTAATACCATCTATGATTATAACTAAAATACATGGTAATATATTAAATTATGTAAAAAAAACTACAAAAATATATTCTTTTTATATAATATTTTTCAGATACACCAGAAGTTTCACCATTATGACCATCAGCACGAGGGCGGTAGATACCAGACAGACTTAGTTATATATACCAAATGTGAAAAATTACTGAACATTAAGAACAATGTGGAACATGGCTAAGAACCAGAGGTTTTCTGAAGGAAAATTTAGTTACCATGTAAACAGTACCAAAATGTTTAAATATAAGTTCAAAAATACACCCCAAATTAACTTTTAACACTCGAAAGCTTTGACTATATCTAATATAAATAACTTATAAACTTTTCATGAATTTCAAAGATAAATTTTCAATCTAAGTAAATTTAAATAACTTTTAATCTTAACCTGAAATTACTTTTGATGTTAACAACTCTAATAAACAATACCTTAAATTTCCATTAAAAATATAAAATTACATCTTTATTCAATATATAATTAATTGTCATTAACTACTAGGGACTTCTTCTGTTTCTTTTGTGTTCCTGTAGCTGTTGTAGGAGGTGGTTCTGGTACAAGTTCTTTTTCTTTACTAGTCAAATGTCTAATTATTTCTTCTTTGGATACCCCCTTTCCAGACACTAAATGTGAGTCATGAAATTTCAGTCTTCTCATTGCATTTTGGTTATTCAATTCAAGTGTGTCTTCACTTTCTATTAACATCTTTGGTTCATGTTCAACAACTTCTGCTGAACCAATTACTGTATCTTGATACAAAGTGTTTTTGTAATCATATGTGTCCATTATGCTAGTTTTACACGTAACATCTTGGCTTACATGTATGTTAACTAAACATGGTGCCATTACTAATGAAAATCTTTCTAAAAAATTCTCAGAGGGTTCTAAAATACAATCTTGAACTG